TTTTCATCTTTACAGTTATATTCTATCCTTTCAATGTATTTGATTTTATTTTTGTGTGTATATATATATATACATACATACATACATATATATATATAGAAGTTTTTCTTTCTTTACAATTTTGGGATCTAATTTTCTTTTTTTTTTAAAGATTTTATTTATTTATTTGAGAGAGAGAATGAGATAGAGAAGAGAGAGCATGAGAGGGGGGAGGGTCCAAGGGAGAAGCAGACACCCTGCTGAGCAGGGAGCCCGATGCGGAACTCGATCCCGGGACTCCAGGATCATGACCTGAGCCGAAGGCAGTTGCTTAACCAACTGAGCCACCCAGGCGCCCTGGGATCTAATTTTCTGACAAACAGACCAAAACACCCACAGGATCCAGTGTATTGCTCTGTTCTGTTCACCTGGCTGATTATAGTCTCTCTCTCTTTTTTTTTAATTTTAACTTTTTTCTTGGTTTCAGGTCTCTTCTGATTTGCTTAGTGTATATTTGTCTAGGGTCATTATTGCCATTTTAGTATTTTGTTCTCTCGTTCATCTATTCTTCTCTGGACAGAATGACAAGACAGAAAAACTCACCTCAAAAAAGAGAAGAAAGTACTGACTGCAGGGACCTAATCACTATGGACATAAGTGAGATGCTGGAACTAGAGTTCAGAATAACGATACTAGCTGGTTTGAAAAAAGCATAGAAGACAGTAGGGAATCCCTTTCTGGAGAAATAAAAGAACTAAAATCTAATCAAGTTGAAATCAAAAGGCTATTAATGAATGCAACCAAAAATGGAGGCTCTAACTGCTAGGATAAATAAGGCAAAAGAGAGAATTGGTGATATAGAAGACAACATGATGGAGAATAAAGAAGCAGAGAAAAAGAGAGATAAACAACTACTAGATCACAAAGGGAGAATCTGAGAGATAAGTGATACCATAAAGCAAAACAATATTAGAATAATTGGGATCCCAGAAGAAGAGGAAAGAGAGAAGGGGGTAAGGTATTTTGGAGCAAATTATAGCAGAGAATTTCTCTAGTCTGGGGAAGGAAATAGGCATTCAAGTCGAGAAGGCATGAGAACCCCGCCTCCAAATCAATAAAAATAAGTCAACACCCTGACATATAATAGTGAAACTCACAAATCTCACAGACAAAGAGAAAATCCTGAAAGCAGCTTGGGACAAGAGGTCGGTAAGCTACAAGAGTAGAAACATTAGACTGGCAGCAGACCTAGCCACAGAGACCTGGCAGGCCAGAAAGGACTGGCATGATATATTCAGAGTGCTAAATGAGAAAAATATGCAGCCAAGAATACCTTATCCAGCTAGGCTGTCATTCAAAATAGGAGAGATAAGGAGCTTCCAGGACAAACAGAAACTATAAAGAATTTGTGTTCACTAAACCAGCCCTGCAAGAAATATTAAAAGTGATCCTTTAAGTGAAGAGAGAGCCCAAAAGTAACATAGATCAGAAAGGAACAAAGACAATAAACAGAAACAGTGACTTTACAGGTAATACAATGGCACTAAATTCACATCTTTCATTAGTTACTCTGAATGTAAATGAGCTAAATGCCTCAATCAAAAGACACAGGGTATCAGATTGGATAAAAAAAGCAAAACCCATCGATATGCTCTCTGCAAGAGACCCATTTTAGACCCAAAGATAACGCCAGATTAAAAGTGAGGGGGTGGAAAACCATTTATCATGTTAATGGACATCAAAAGAAAGCTGAGGTGGCAATCCTTTTATCAGACAAATTAGATTTTAAACCGAAGACTGTAATAAGAGATGAGGAAGGACACTATATCATAATTAAAGGGTCTACCCAACAAGAAGATCTAACAATTGTAAATATTTATGACCCTAACATGGGAGCAGCTAATTACATAAACCAACTAATAACAAAATTAAAGAAACACATTTATAATAATACAATAATCACAGGGGACTTTAACACCACTCTCACTGCAATGGACAATCATCTAAGCAGAAGATCAACAGGGAAACAAGGGCTTTGAATGACATATTGGACCAGATGGGTTTCACAGATATATTCAGAATGTTCCATCCTAAAGCAACAGAATACACATTCTTCTCACGTGCACATGAAACAGTCTCCAGAAGAGATGGGTCACATATCAAGTCTCAACCGGTACCAAAAGATTGGGATCATTCCCTGCATATTTTCAGACCACAATGCTTTGAAACTTGAACTCACTTACAAGAAGAAATTTGGAAAGAACTCAAATACATGGAAGCCAAAGAGCATCCTACTAAAGAAGGAACAGGTCAACTAGGAAATTAAAGAAGAATTTAAGAAATTCATGGAAACATGAAAATGAAAACACAACTGTTCAAAACCTTTAGGATGCAGCAAAGGCAGTCCTAAGAGGGAAGTATGTAGCAATAAAAGACTTTCTCAAGAAACAAGAAAGATCTCAAATATACAACCTAACCTTACACCCTAAAGGAGCTGGAGAAAGAACAGCAAATAAAGCCTAAACCCAGCAGGAGAAGAGAATCAATAAAGATTAGAGCAGAAATCAATGAAATAGAAACCAAAAGAACAGTAGAACAGATCAATGAAACTAGGATCTGGTTCTTTGAAAGAATTAGTAAGATTAATAAACCCTTGGCCAGACTTATCATAAGAAAAGAGAAAGGACCCAAATAAATAAAATCATGAATGAAAGAGGAGAGATCACAACCAAGACCAAAGAAATACAAACAATTATAAGAACATATTATGAACAACTATATGCCAACAAATTAGGCAATGAATCACTGAGCACTATATCAAAAACTAATGATGTACTATATGTTGGCTAACTGAACATAATAAAAAAATGAAAGTAAAAAAAAGAAAAATAAATAAAATAAACTATGACATCTGAGACAACTGGAAAAAGAAGATATGGTGTGTATATATATATATATATATATATATATATACACACACACACACACACACACACACACACACACACACACACACACACAATGGAATACTACTCAGCCATCAAAAAAATGAAATCTTGCCATTTTCAACACATGGATGGAACTAGAGGGCATTATGCTAAGTGAAATAAGTCAATCAGAAAAAGACAAATACCATATGATCTCACTCCTATGTGGAATTTAAGAAACAAAACAGAGGAGCATGGGGGAAGGGAGGGAAAAATAGAACAAGATGAAATCAGAGAGGGAGACAAACCATAAGAAACTCTTAATCATAGGAAACAAACTGAGGGTTGCTGGAGGGGAGGGGGTAAGGGAATGGGGTAACTGGGTGATGGACATTAAGGAAGGCATGTGATATAATGAGCACTGTGTATTGTGTAAGACTGATGAATCACTGACCTCTACCTCTGAAACTAATAATACATTGTATGTGAACTAATTGAATTAAAATTTAAAAATTAAAAAAAGAAAAAGAAAAAATAAAGCTCAAATAAATAAAAAAAATCTTTAAAGAACAAAGAAAGAAGAGAAAGGTAGAAGACAGTTACCTAAGATGAAGCCAAGAAAAGACATTTCATAATGAATCCAACCCTGCTAATATCTTAATCTTAGACCTCTAGCCTCTAGACTGTGAATAAATAAATTTACCATAGACTGGGTGTTTAAGCCATTCAGTCTATGGTATTTGTTAAGGCAGCCTGAGCAAATGAATATACTACTACACTGTCTTTCGTAGCAGTGAGTGCCAATAGAGGCAGTACCCTTGGCAGGTATCCAATGGCAGTATCCTAAGCAAATAGTTGTAGTGTCAGAATCTTTACAATTTTTCAAGTTGTTTATTTTTAATGGTAATATGTTCACATTCAAAATACTAAAACTATAAAAGAACTGGCTCTATCACTTACTAGCTCCCATATTGTCAGGTTACCCAGTTCCCTTCCAGACACAACCAAAGCTACCTGATTCTTGTGTGTCTTTCTAAAGATATTCCATAAAAAAAAAACAAGGATGTACAAATGGCCAATAGACACATGAAAAAAATGTTCAACATCACTCGGCATCAGGGAAATACAAATCAAAACCACAATGAGATACCACCTTACACTGGTTAAAATGGCTAAAATTAATTACAACAGATGTTGGCAAGGATGCAGAGAAAGGGGAATCCTCTCACACTGTTGGTGGGAATGCAAACTTGTACAGCCACTCTGGAAAACAGTATAGAGGTTCCTCAAAAAGTTGAAAATAGAGCTACACTATGACCCAGCAATTGCACTACTGGGTATTTACCCCAAAGATACTAATGTGGTGATCCAAAGGGGGACCTGCACCCCAATGTTTATAGCAGGAATGTCCACAACAGCCAAACTATGGAAAGAGCCCAGATGTCCATCAACAGATGAATGGATAAAGAAGATGTGGTATATATATACAATGGAATACTACTCGGCCATCAAAAAAATGAAATCTTATCATTTGCAGTGACATGGATGGAACTAGAGGGCATTATGCTAAGTGAAATAAGTCAATCAGAGAAAGACAATTATCATATGATTTCACTCCTATGTGGAATTTAAGAAACAAAACAGAGGAGCATGGACAAAGGGAGGGAAAAATAAAACAAGATGAAATCAGAGAGGGAGACAAACCAAGAAACTCTTAATCATAGGAAACAAACTGAGGGTTACTGGAGGGGAGAGGGAAAAGGGGATGGGGGTGGCTGGGTGCTGAACATTAAGGAGGGAACATGATGTAATGCGCACTGTGTATTATATAAGACTGATGAATCACTGACCTCTACCTCTGAAACTAATAATATGCTATATGTTAATTAATTGAATTTAAATTAAAAAATGGTATTAAAAATTTTTAAGTATGTACATATATATTCATATATTCTATTTCCTTACTACAGACATTGTCCTCTCTTACATTTTTTTCACAGAGGTATCTTACAAATTGCCTTTATATGGAGGGATTTAATTAAGGACTAGTTATTCTGAATTGCAATTTGAGTTCTAGCTATAATCTTTACTTACATTTTACAAATAGGAGACAATGGAAATGTCTGAAGTCCTGTACATAATGAAGTCATGGAAGAATGTTGGTTTGTTAGATGTAGATGAGTTAATGGCATTTCTAACTCTCCTAGAATACAAAAAGTTTAAAAAATAATTAATTACATAAACACTGAATAAAATTAAGTATAGTTTGGAACTTTTTGTAATTAACTATTATGTTGATCATTCTGCTACAACAAAGATTTTCAATAAAAAGACATTTCAGTTACTTGAAATACAAAATAACAGTTTTAAATTTCCATCTAAGGAATTACACATATGTCACATGCTATCTCAACAGTGATAGTGGTGATTTTTAAAAAATACATTGACAACTAAACTTTATTGTTTACTGTATGATATAAATTCTAAGAGTTTTATGTGAAATAATGCTTTCAATTCTGACAATTTATGTTGTCAGTACTTAGGAGACAGGACTATTTTTATCTTCATACTAAATATTGGTGATGTTAAGTAAATAGTATTAATGGAGACTAATTCTTCATCTTAGTAAGTCTGGGTGGCCCAGCACAGAGTTACATATTTATAGAGTGGGCTTGAGAAACTGAAACTCATTTATTCATAAGTAGTTAGTGTGTTTCTATCACTTTCATAAATAAAGCAATAAACTTCCAAATAGATGATAAATGTGATTCAATTATAAATGTAACTAAGGGAGCATCTGGTTGGCTCAGTTGGTTAAGCGTCCGACTCTTGATTTTGGCTCAGGTCATGATCTCAGGGTTGTGAGATTAGGCTCCACACTGGGTGTTGGAGCCTGTTTAAGATTCTCTCTCTCCCTCTCCCTCTGTCTACCTCCCCCCACCACCACTAAAATAAATAAATAAATAAACAAATAAATAAAATACATGTAACTAAATAATAGTATCATCAACATAGTTAAGAAGCAACACAACTTGGCATTACAGTGGAACAAAAGATGATTCAGGGTCCAAATCTGGTATGATAATAATAGTAACAGTAATGATAGGATTGCTTTGAGTGATTAAAAAGTTAAATTTACAAAAGTGTAACAAGGGTCAGCAAGATTACTAATACTGAGATAAAATATAAAATTTTATTTACTGAACTATAATATTATGATTTCCGATTTTAATATTAATGCTATTTCCTCCATTCCTTTTCCTCAGTCTTTGTAACTCTCTGTATATTATTCAGTTTTGCTGCTAGAAGGATAATGAGTTAATGATAGTAACAAATGTAAATGGACAGATAAGAGAAAAAAATGACAACCTGGATTGCAATAATCAAATTTTAAACATGAAAACTGTCTCATAGTAGACCTTACATGTGAATGTATTGTACCTTTACATCAGATATGGGTAACCACTGATAAACTCAATGATTTATCCAAAATTTCTACCTGGTTCACTGTACTCTGGTTCACAATAGCTTTGAATGGCCAAAATCTCTGTGAAGCTGCATTTTATATCCTCAATGTCAAATCCATGCTCGGTAGTAAGATCTGAAAAGAAAGGTAAGAAAGTCTACTATCAGCGTAAGTACTACTGTATCAGTTTTTTTTCTAATATTGTCCATTCTTCTGTGGCAATGACTGCTTTATTTAGTATACCATCAGAGTGAACTGAAGGCTGGGAGTGTACCACCACAGTCCTTCAGTAAAGTCACGTGTCCTTTATATTAGCATTCATGGATCTGTGTCCTGCTAATAAGCCAATGGGTCACCCTGCAGTTTTAAGCTCTGCTATATTTACAAGTTCTGGTATGAATTTGATCAACTTACTCAGGTTGACTTTTCATTCCCTTGCTTTGACTTGTAGGCTAATCAGTAATTCATTTGATTTAGTCTCGTCTACAAGAATTCCTTCAGGTTTGTGGTCTAGTAATGGCAAGCATCCCTCTTCTCAATGGATTCATAAATCTCCCTTCACTCCTCCCTAATATATACCTTTGATGATTTCAACTGGAATTTATAAGAGGATAGTTAAATATTTGGGCTTAAATTGTCATTAGAAATAATTCGACAATATTTACTAAGTCTAACTGGGATAAAAGCATCTACATTTTAGGTTATGATTCTCCCACTCATCTGATTCCATGAATCATAACCTCACTCTGAGCTTCTCCATATCTAACTAAAGTCAGCATAGAAGTTGTTAGTGCTTTGTCATTGTTTATAAGAAAACAACTTTTAAAAAATTAGTAGTCATAGGTGATTTAGTTAATTTGTATAATTATCTTGAAATGGTTAATTTTAGAGACGTTTTAAGTTTGTAGTGATATGAGTTAACTTATATACATATATATAAATATATATGTTAAGTTATAAAGAGAAAGACAATGAGAAAAGAGTCTCAGCAACAATAATTCTGAGATTTCAACATGTAACCTAAAGAACACTTCTTTTTTTAATTAAAAAAATTTTTTAAATTTATTTTATTATGTTATGTTAGTCACCATACAATACATCATTAGTTTTTGATGTAGTGATCCATGATGCATTGTTTTCATATAACACCCAGTGCCTCCTACAGTATGTGCCCTCCTTAATACCCACCACCGGGCTAACGCATCCCCACACCCCTAAAGAACACTTCTTAAAAATCTGGAGGTTCAGAAAGCAGTTTAATCAACATATTTTTATAACAAACATTATTAAGTAGTTTTTACAAGTAATAGATTTTTAAATTTATTCTCACCTATTCTGAAAAGCTTTTCATTTTCATCTGCATAATTTATTATTTCTGGCATTAAGTTTAAGGATTCCTTCAGTTCGGAGAGTGATGGAATATCAACTTCTTGTTTGAGGCTTGTAGGTATTAAGAATTCACACTCAGGCAAAAATGATGGCTGAAATAGTATAAGTAAAAGAAGCTTTTAGGGAAGTTTTCCAGATAAATATTTCTAGACTTATAAACATAGATAATTTGTTTAATTGGTATATCAAATTTTAAGCTAAATATTCAAAATTTTTAATGTTATGAAAACATTTAAAAAAAACAGAGGTATAGTAGTCAAACAATATATTACAAGCAATGTTCTGAGTAATGTCCTTTATGGCCACTGATCACACTAGTGATGTACAGTATCCTAGATGCAAAAATATCTTCTTGTGGGCTAATAACAAATTTTTAAACTTCCGAATTAAAAATAATCACTGCAGTAGATAAGAGATGGTTAATGGGGAGAAATAAAAAGGGTAGATGAAATGGAATGGACCTTCACTACACTCCATTAAATATGCTTCTCTTTCATTCCTACAGAACTAGATTCTACGTGCATAATTCTCAGAGCTAATAGGTGAGGGAGAGGGGGACTAGAGAAAAGGGACTAATAAGTGAATTAATACTGTCACCGTGTGTGTGTGTTTTGTTTTATTTTGGTTTTCTTACCATGTGTGTTAAAGTTTTTATTTGTAAGGAAACCCTTTAAACGCCTTAAAGTATCTATATCTGTGTCAGTATCTCTGGCTGTGTCTACAACTATATCTATCTCCTTTGAATGTTTTAAGAAAAGCCCCAAATGTGAAATATTTTCAGCTGTCTCAAAAAAATGTTTAAAGTAACTTTGTAAATGCATCTAATCTATGTGGGCCTAGGTTTTCAAGTTTGTTAAACTGCAAAAAGTTATTCGCGTTCTCAACTGCTAAAATTCTTTACATATTAACATCATAATAACAATTTTGTGTGCTATTAGAACTGTACGCTAAAAAAGAGGGGCTGCCTTTGAGGAATTGGATCTTTAATATGCAAAGATGCTATCTTCCTTATTAACCACTGGCAGCACCTAAAATGAAGTCTCAGATCATCTTTATTCTTAGTACTTCAATGAGATCCCTTCTCTTACATAGTGTAAGTGCTGTTTTGTGTATAACTCACAAATAAAAATCAACATTTCTAGCTCTGGTTTCCAATTTTTTAACTAGAATATGACCACTTAATGTCCTATACCAGGGAGATTTATTAACATCATTAAGAGTTGTTTTTAAATTCACTATACCTGGGCTGCACAACAGACCAGTTCAATCAGAATATATCTGAGTAGGGCCCAGGCTTCAGTATTTTATTAAAACTCTCCAAGTAATTCCAATGCGTAGCCAAGGTTTAGAACCACTATCTTGAAGTAAATTTGACTTCATTATTGATATATTCAACCCATTACCAAGTCTTTTTAAACTTAACAGTAGATGGCCAATACATATGACTAAAATTATAAATTACTAACTTTTATAAAACTATTACTGAAAGCAAGTATTACAGTTTGATTTAAACCTACTGTATCTTCTAGCTTTTCCTGATTAAAGGTCTCTTTATCCATGTAAAAATCTTCTTCCACTAGACCTTTCAAATCTTCTTGAAAAGAGATACATTCTCTTAACAACAACAACAACAAAAAACATTAAATTAGCGTTTACTAAAAGCAAAGTACATACTAAATGTAACCAATCAAATTAAATAATAATTTAATACAATGATTAAAACTGGAACTGATGTAAAGCAATGATAATATATTATTATTGATAACATCTAGACTTGTGAGCATACAAAGAATATTTTCTTCTTGAAAAATATTTACATCAGGGGCGCCTGGATGGCTCAGTCGTTAATCGTATGCCTTCAGCTCAGGTCATGATCCCAGGGTCCTGGGTTTGAGCCTCTTATCGGGCTCCCTGCTCAGCAGGAAGCCTGCTTTTCCCTCTCCCACTCCCCCTGCTTGTGTTTCTTCTCTCACTTTGTCTCTCTCTGTCAAATAAAGAAATAAAATATTTTTTAAAAATATTTACATCAGACAATTAAGTACCTGAAGAAATTAGCTTCTGTGAAGATCTGTCCTTTGAAATCTAAAATGGGGTCCTTTACCAAAAATAGTTTTAGCCTACTCAACAAAGTCTGCAAAGTTGGTAGCTGACTTTTATAGGCCATCAAGTTATTTAAAAAAATTATTTCTTCATCAATAGACAAATCTGAAAATAAAAGAAATGTAAAGGAATAAGAAAAAATCTAAAAGTTACACAAAGAGATCTAGATAGTTACTGCAGTCAGCCATTCAAACACACTTTAAATTCTTTAGTTCATTGTATTGTGTATATAAAGCATGCAGCATAGGATTAGCATATAGATAAAAGCTCAATAAATTTTAGTATTACTTAGTACACTGACTAGTAACCAAATATCCTGAAAGAGTTGTGATGGTTCATTTTCTTTTCAACAAAGATTAGTTTAACCAGTGGAGGAAAATATCTTGCAGCCTTATGCTTCAAAACAACCAGGGGTAGCCTAAGCAAAGTTGTAAAGAAATAAAAGCATTTGACTTTTGTTGAACCTAGTCTTTTCTTTGCATCATTGTACCTCTTAAAGTCTCTAATTCATCCCTAAAGACTCTGAGATGTAGGGAAAGGAGATGGTCTACAAAACCTACAAATGAGATCAATTCAGATTCTATCATTGTAATGACAAAAAAAAAATTGTTTCTATTGTAAAACAGAAATAAAACTTTCATTGCAAAATTGATTACAATGAAAGTTATATGGCAAAGTATCTACTTGAGAAGTGCGATACATCTTATATATTAGGATCCACTACTGCTAAGAGTTAATTGCTGGAATAAATTTCTCCTGTTTATCCCCACCCTACTATGTTCAGGTTACTTTAGAATCTTAGCCAACTGTGTCAGTGCTTTAACAGTTTCTGAGCCAAGGGAGGGAACATAAAACCTGCTCCCATTCTTCAATAAGCTCCTGAGTGGAAAGAAGAAAAGGAAAATATAAGTTCAGATGAGGAACTGCTCAGAAAGCCAAACTCCCTAAAGCAAAAGCTACATTGAAGAGGGAGCAACAATTTCTTGTTCTTGGTAGTGACCTTTCAGTTAAGTAAATTTAGAATGGCATGAGAGGAATAGCATGGAGTGATGTCTCCCATGACCAATTACATCACTGGTATGCATATGTTTAATAAATATGTGGTGTTAAGCAGGCAGCCAGGAAACACCCCTTTCCTGGTGTTACCTTGAAATGCCAACAGAGAACTTGTTCCGTAAGCTAGCCTCCTAAGAGATTACTTATCTGAACCTGCTAAGTTCCTGATAATTTTGTGGCCAAGAGCTTCCCATGACAAATTTGGCATAGTTCTTTTATATACCAGAGAGCTAGCCAATCAATTCCATATCTAAACAGGGCTTATGTGAGACAACTAAAGATGGTTCATTTGTACATCCACTCTGAAAGTATTAATGAAGTCATATTAATAGTGAAAACCCAAACAGCATTTATTTATATCCCTGTTTCCACCTTCCACTTCCAAACACAGGTCCTCTAGCCATCTTCCCTTCCTACAGGCTCATCCTAGTATTTCTGCAAGTCCAAGGAAACAAACATCTATCAGTTATGAGATCGTTTTCCAACCACCCATTTTTGATAGAGCCGCTTGAGGGCAGCATCACACCATAACCAATGTTCTTTGTAACTACACAGAAGTTGTTTTATGAAGGGTGCTAACTCCTTATATTCTTAAGGTTATACAACACTTCCTGGAGTTCTTACTTTATTACAGCTCTTCTATTACCAACACAGATATGAGGAGATTGCTCTCTATTGTAAAGAAGTGTTAAATTGTTACAAAGAAGCAAAATTTTACCTATGAAAAGAAACAGAAAATAGAGGTCTACTGACAGGAAAGACAAGTTTATTCTTGGCAGAAGATTCCTATGTCTACCTAGAAAACCCAAGGTAACTAAGTGAAAACAAATAAAGGAGTTCACTAGGTGTCTGATAAAAAAATTATAAAATCTCTGGTTTTCAAACATACATAAAAACCCCCAAAATTAATGGAAAAATTCATTCATAATGGTAACAAGTATACAACACCAAGGAATCAACATAACAAAAATGTATAGATAGCATATGCAGGAAACTACAAAACTTTAATGAGGACCATTTAAAAAAACTGAATAAAAAGCAAGATAAACCATCCTGGCTAGTAAGACTGACTATAGTAAAAAAAAAAAAGTAAAAAAACACAATGACATTTAAATTTCTCAAGAGATCTGTTTTGTAACTTGAAAAACTGATTTGCTGATAGTAAATCTAGAAGAATAAAAATGTGAGACTAGGGAAAAAATTTAATAGAAAGAAGAGACTATTTATAGATGTTATAATTACATGTATGATACAATAATAGACAAATCAATAGAACAAAATAGAAAATCCAGAAACACTCTAATGTGGGTAAGGATTTAGCATATTTTCTAAGTGGCTTTTCTAATCAGTAGAGAAAGGAAAGACTATTCCATAAATGATATTGAGATGACTGCCAAAACATTTGGAAAAAATATTTTTTATCCTTACTTTTAAACATATACCAAAGTCTTAAGGAAAAGCTTAAAGAAAATATGAATAAATATTTATCTAATTTAAAGAAGAATTTTCTAAGTATAAAAGCAATGAAACAAACCTTAAAGGAAAACATTGATGGGACTGGTTAGTTTTAAATTAAAGATTAAATATATCTTTGACATATACAGATAAAATATAAGAATAGAAAAATAGATAAAAGAATCATTTCACAAAATAAAAATACGCAAATGGCCAGTAAGCATGAATAATTTTTTAAAAGATTTTATTTGTTTATTATTTATTTATTTATTTAGAGAGTGTCTGAGGACACACCAGTGCGAGGGGGCATGGAGGGCAGAGGGAGGAGAGTAAGAGAATCTCTTGCAGACTCCCTGCCCAGTGTGGAGCCCCATTCAGGGCTGGGTCCCATGACCCTGAGATCATGACCTGAGCCAAAATCAAGAGTTGGATGCTCAACCAATGAGCCACCCAGGCACCCCAAACATGAATAATTTTTAAAATCCAAGTAAAAACATAATTTTTGCCCATCATATTAGGCAAAATGTATTAACACAATATCAGTAGTAATATATCCGATGATGATAAGGCTGGTATGAACAAGATATTCTCATATCATGCTAGTGGACATATATATAGTTAAAAGAAATATCAAATAATTCCATTTCCATGAATTTAGTCTATGGAAAGAACTGGAAATGGAAGCATACAAATTTATGTCCATATTTGCAATTAAAAACATTAGTGTTCTCAAATTGGGAAATGTATGATACATACATAAGATTTAAAACTGCAGTCATTAAAAGCCACGCTTTCGAAGACAAGCATATGGTGAGATGTTCCCAAGATAATGTTAACATTTAAAAATAAGAATGCAGACACAATATGATCCCAATAGTAAAATGATTTATGTTTAGATTATAGGTTTGGAAGTTTTTAATAAAGGGACATCCTACATATTTAGGATGTATATATCTTAATAGATGTAGAAAACATTAATAAAATTCAGTTCTCATTCATGATCAAAAGCTCCTAGCAAACTCAGAACAGAAAGAGCTTCCTCAACCCAATAAAGGAAATTCTTCCAACATTTAACCATTGAAACTGACATAAACATTATAAATGATTCACCATTGAAATGACATTTACATCATTTTTAATGATGAAATGTTAAAGTATTTCCTTTACTGTCAAGAACAAGACGAGGATGGCAACATAACTGCTTCTATTAAACAACGTGCTGTAGGTCGTAGTCAGCACACACATACACACAAAGACATAAATGTTGTAAAGGAAGAAACAGATGGCCAACAAAATCACTGTCTTAAAGAGATATCTGTACTCCCACTGCAGCATTATTCACAACAGCCAAGGTGTGGAAACCATGTGTCTGTCCACAGATAAATGGATAAAAAACGTGTTGTAAGGAAAAGATACGTTATACACACAGACACAAGAAAATATTGTTCAACTTTAAAAAAGAAGGAAATCCTGCCATTTGCAATATGGATGAACACAGAGGACATTTTGCTAAGTGAAATAAACCAGGCAGAGAACAACAAATATTGCATGGTATCACTTGTACGTGGAATCTACGGGGAAAAAAAGTAGAACTCATGAAAACAGAGAATAGAATGGTGGTTGCCAGGGACTGGGGCTGGGCTGTGGGGAAATAGGGAGAGGTTGGTAAAACAGTACAAACTTGCAGTTATAAGATGAATAAGGTGTGAGGATCTGATGTATAAAATGGTGACTATAGTTGATACTACTGCAGTGTATAACTGAAATTTGCTAAGAAAATAGAACTTAAGTGTTTTTACCAAAAAAAAAAAAAGAAGGTAAATATGTGAAGTGATGGATGTGTTAATTCAATAATGGGAATCTTTTACGATGTATGTGTATATTAAGTCACCACATTGTACACCTTAAATATATTTAAAAAAAGGAAAAAACGTGGGTGGTTGAAGTCAAAGGACTGCTGCTTTTTATTATAAATTTTGAGTAACTATTTGATTCTCTAAACTGCATGTACAATTTTCTTTTAATTAAAAATAAAGGGATGCCTGGGTGACACAGTCAGTTAAACATCTGACTCATTTCGACTCAGGTGGTCATCTCAGGGTGGTGGGATCGAGCCTTGTGATGGGCTCTGTGCTCAGCTTGGAGTCTGCTTAAGACTCTCTCTGCTCCTCTCCTCTCTCTCTCTCAAACAAATTAATAAATCTTAAAAAAATAATAAAAGTTAAATTAAAAATAAAGCTACATTTGCATTTGCTTATATATTCCTTGGAATCTGAATGGATATTCATAAAATAATTACATTTATTGACAAACATGTGAATGTTGTAGAAATATTCGTACATATCAACAAACCAATAAATAAAAGAAAAAAATTTTTACAGATTTGATTGATTTATTTGAGAGAGAGTGAGCAAAAGAGAGAGAGAGAGCATAAGCACTGGGGGAGGAGCCGAGGGAGAGGGAGAAGCAAGAGTCCCTGCTGAGCAGGGAGCCTGACACTGGGCTTGATCCCAGGACTACAGGATCATGACCTCAGCTGAAGGCACTCAACCAACTGAGCCACCCAGATGCCCCACAATAAAAGAAAATTACCCATTGTTTTTATGTCTTAACGAAATATATGTTTTGAAATTAACTTATAATTTAGTAATTAACTACATTTAAGACAGAAAATTCACAGTATCAATTGAATTTCAAAACTAATGCATTCCTTTGGATATAGACACTGAGACCAAAGTATCTATAAATCTGGCAGCAATCAATATAGCTGCAAAGACTATAAATGAAATTGCAAATCTAAATGTATAAAATGATGTCTAATGACACAGGACCCCTAAGGCAATACAGGATACGGACAATATATATGTATTTAGGAAACTCAAGCATATTCAGTGAATAGTAGTTAAGGAAGCTTCTGACTCTGGTTGATGATAGATATTATGAAGTTTGCCAATAACGGCTCCTGGTTTTCTGCATTAATAATAATAGCTATGTTTGGATATCTGTTATTTTTTTATAAACTATCTCATTACATGTACAAATATATTAGTTGGTCCCCACAGACATTTTTATAAGAAATTAGAAGAATAAGTTAAAAGAAATTCTAGAAGAAAATTGAAAACCATAAAATTTTTAATAACTGTCCTCAAATTGCACCACTTTTTCAGAGTAGATTTGGACTATGATCAAATTTTCATTTGGACTATGATCAAATTCAGATTATTCCTAATATATCATGTTCTCAAGTTTAGTCTTTATTCTTTCTTAAAGATTTTATTTATTTATTTTTAGAGAGAGAAAGAGAGTGCAGGAGCGAGCAGGGGGAGGGGCAGAGGGAGAGAAAGAGGGAGAGAAGAATCCTCGCTGAGCGCAGAGCCAGGCCTGGGGCTCCATCTCACAAGATCATGACCTGAGGCAAAATCAAGAGACAGATACTCAACAAACTGAGCCCTCCAGGTGCCCTTCAAGTTTAGCCTTTATTTTTTTTAATTATTTTTATTTTTTTTTAAAGATTTTATTTATTTATGTGACAGAGAGACACAGCGAGAGAGGGAACATAAGCAGGGGGAGTGGGAGAGGGAGAAGCAGGCTTCCCGCTGAGCAGGGAGCCCAATGCGGGGCTCGATTCCCGGACCCCAGGATCATGACCCAAGCCGAAGGCAGATGCTTAACAACTGAGCCACCCAGGCGCCCCTCAAGTTTAGTCTTTTTTTTTTTTTAAAGATTTTACTTATTTATTTGAGATAGAGAGAATGAGAGATAAAGAGCACGAGAGGGAAGAGGGTCAGAGAGAGAAACAGACTCCCTGCCGAGCAGGGAGCCCGATGCGGGACTCGATCCCAGGACTCCAGGATCATGACCTGAGCCGAAGGCAGTCGCTTAACCAACTAAGCCACCCAGGCGCCCTCAAGTTTAGTCTTTAATGCAATCTCTCACTCTTTCATCTCAAACTAAGAGGGATTTAACTCTATGTCATCACACACCTATTTGCCAACACAAAAAATTTTATACACAATTTGTATATTTACATAAAAACAGCCATAAAAGAACCAAATTATTATATATTCTATATCTATTAGATTATCGTAGCTGAAGCTATAGCATTATCTTAAACTTTTTTTTATAAACATATAATGTATTATTTGTTTTGGGGTACAGGTCTGTGATTCATGAGTCTTACACAATTCACAGTGCTCACCATACACATACCCTCCCCAATGTTCATCACCCAGCCACCCCATCCCTCACACCCCCCTTCCCTCCAGCAACCCTCAGTTTGTTTCCTGAGATTAAGAGTCTCTTATGGTTTGTCTCCCTCTCTGGTTTCGTCTTGTTTCATTTTTCCCTCCCTTCCCCTATGATCCTCTGTCTTGTTTCTCAAATTCCTCATATCAGAGCAATCATATGATAATTGTCTTTCTCTGATTGACTTATTTCGCTTAGCATAATACCCTCTAGTTCCATCCATGTCGTTGCAAATGGCAAGATTTCATTTTTTGATGGCTGCATAATATTCCAAGATGTACTTTAATTATTAATTATGGTAAATTTGTAAAAATGAGGTGAATTTCCTGATCTAATAATGCAACTATTCCATCTCTACTTTGAATTATGGTTTCACATCAATAAGGTGAGATTGAAAATCTTGAGCATATTTTGAAAATAAAATACAGCCATCATTTAGTGATCTACTATTTTAATGTTATACGAGATTGCTATGTCACCAGATCTGGTTACAGTAATATGGTGTGAGCAGACTATGATCAAATCCCTGAGGCTATTTTGATGCCCAGCACACATAAACTCCAAAAACAACCGAATTCACAAAAAGGGGATTAATATGAAAGAGAAAGTATTTCTCTAATGTGGCAAAGCTTAGAATTATAATTTTACAGGTGGATACCTTTAATAAAATAGAAAAATTAAAAATCCAATAAAACAGAAAAACACTCACAAAAATGACAGTCTGTTTGTTAGTAAGAAATGTTTTATAATAATAGAAACAATAAATGTTTTACCTTCGTCCTGTGTTTGAAGTGCTGGACATTTTTCTAAACCGCTGACAAGTGTAAAGACTTCAGTGTAGTCTTTCTGGGTATATAAACTGGCTTCTTCTATTTCAGTTTGGGAGTTTGGGTTTGAACTTGGAACAACTTCCTCAAACCCACAGTCAATCTGAGTCACCATTCCTGTAATTGTTTTTCTATGACATTATAAAATTACTGATTTTATGTATGTCCTATTTTAAAACATCTTTATTAACAAATAGCATATGTTCACTGTAGAAAAATTACAAAATTCCAACAGATACAAAGTTACCCATAGCCCCAACACTCAAGAAATGAATTCAAAATTTATATATTTTCTCAATTACTTTTGGACATTTTTTAACAAAAGTGGGTTCATGTACATAGTATTATGAAACCTGCCTTTTCTGATAAACAATAAAACATGACTACAATTATATGTCAGTCAATGTACATTCACTTCATTTTGGATGAACAGGATCCCATTGTATTGGTAGGCCATAATATATTCAAGCAGTTCCCTATTGTTGGCAATTTAAATTTGTTGTAATCCTTTGCTATTAGAATGCAAGGAATATCTTTGTGCACTTGCTGTTTTCTCAAAATGTGTTTCCTAAAAACAGAAGCAATGAGGTTAAAGGTATACAGATTTTTAGACTTTTCCATGCATTGCCAAGTTGCCCTTGTATTGGATATTCAATGTTCGCTTTTCCACATCATTATCCAACCTTTTATATTCTGTTTTTCAACCTGAGAGGCTCATCTCTATGACTGAACTAAGTTCCCTTGCTCTCTGGTTTCTGGTTGGGTTTAGCCAATGGGAAGCATTGGCAGATCAAAGGTGGGAAGAGAGACAAGTTGGGATATTATTGTTCCCAAATCCCTCTCTCCTGGGCCACAGTTTGAAAGTGGCTGCATTCTTCTCCCAACAGTTACATCTCTTGTCAGACAGCCCCTCTCCTACAGCTGGCCATAGTTCTTACTGGGCTGATTACTGTTCAGTTCCCTTGCTCCTACAAGCTTAGAGCATTAACAACTTCCTGCTGTTTTGGGGCCCCCCCTTTTTTTTTTGGCTCCCCTGTCCTTGCGCATACCTTGCCTATTTCCTGATTCATCCAGGTAATCTACCACTGTCTGTAACATTGGGAGAGTTTGGATTTCTAAGAGATCTTTTTAATGAATTTTCTGACAAATAAATATATTATTGGCAATTTAACTACACATTCTAATACACCTTTTCCCCCGATATCCTAAAATATTTTAGCCTCAATAATTACCTACACAGACTGAGAGAACCAAAATCAATATAACTCCCTAATGTAATTGGAGAAAAATGAATATGCCATAGCTTCAAATCATAGAAAAATCTCTAAAGTTTCTCCTTTACTAAGAAAATACAAGGCACAAGAAAAAATATTTCAACTTACCCAACTCCATATTACTCGTAAGACCATTGATTCCTATGTGAATCTTTACAGACTTCTAAATTTAGCATTTATATTGCAATTATCTTTTTTGTTTTAAATGTTACTAATAGGGTCAGCACTTTGTAATAATCCTTGGTACTAGAGTTTTGAGAAAAACCAGTCAATTCTCTTTCCCTAGATATAAACGTTCTATGAAGAAAAGTATTTCCTGGATCTCCTCCTACCTCCTTGTACAATATTATCTCTTCTTTGTTCACTGGTGTCTCCTCCTCCACCTAACCTGTGGTACTGATATTTCCCAGGATTCCAATCTAGATGGTGTTTGCTTTCTTTCCATATCATTCTATCTGGGTAAGTTCATCCACTCCAATTCACTAATTCCTTAACTTAAAAGAAATATTTATTGAGTGTCCACAGTGTGCTAACACCATTTTAGGCACTGAGAATGGAGTGGTAGAGCAAAACAAAGTTCTTACCCTCGTGAAGCTTACCTATTAATGGGATGATAGGCAAACAAACAAACAAATAACATAATGTCAGGTGGCAAAAAATTGTTTTGAATAAAATAAAATATTAGGACATCAAGTAACAGCCTGAGAGTTGGTAAGAGTTCTGTTTTAGAGAGTGGCCAGGTGAGGAGCTGATAATTCCACAGCTACCTGAATAATGGTAGGGAGTGACCTATACAAAGGCCTAAAGTGGGGGAACAAGTGTGGCATAGTCTAGGAAAAGCAGAAAGGTCAGGGTGACTGGAACAGAGTAAGGTTAGATAGGTAGCAAGGGACCAGATCATGTTGGGCATTATAATACCTAGTAAGAACTTTGGATTTATTCTATGTGCAATGGGATACTGTCAGTAGGTTATAACAGAGACAGTTCATGATCTGGTTTGTGTCTTAAAAAAAAAAAATTCCATGGTGATGGGTATTGAGGAGGGCACGTTTTGCATGGTGCACTGGGTGTTATGAACAAACAATGAATCATGGAACACTGCATCAAAAACTAATGATGTAATATATGGTGATTAACATAACAATAAAAAAAATAAAAAAAAAAAATTCCAGGCAAACTCTTAGAAGAAAATAGAGGAGTAAATCCTCATGACTTTGGATTAGGCAAAGCCTTCTCAGATATGATGCCAAAAGCCCAAGTGACTAAAGAAAAAAAATAGATAAATTGGACTTCGTCAAAAATTTTCAAAAATTGTGCTTCAAAGGATACTATCAAGAAAGCAGAAAGATAATCCACACAAGAAAATATTTGCAAATCATGTGTCTGATAAGGGACTTGTATCTAGACTATATAACAAACTCTTAAAATTCAATTATAAAAAGACACATAAACCAACTGGAAAATGGGCAAAGGACTTAAATAAACATTTTCTTGAAGAAGATAAACTAAAGGCCAATAATTACATAAAAAGATGCTGAGCATCATTAGCCATGAGGGAAATGAAAATCAAAACTACTATGACATAAAATAAGCTACTCATTAGGATGGCTATAATCAAAAAGACAGATAATAACAAGTGTTGGTAAGGATGTAAATAAATTGTAACCTTCATACAGGGCTGGTGGAAATGCAAGATGGTACAACTGCTTGGAAGATAATTTGGCAATTCTTCAAACAGTTAAAACAATGAGTTACCATATGACCTAGTAATTCTACTACTAGAGAAATGAAATCATATGTATGCACAAAAACTTTTCCACAAATATTTATAGCAGCATTACTCATACTAGCTAAAAACTGAAAACAACCTAAATGCCCATCAACTAATGAATGGATAAATAAAATGTGCTATGTCCACACAATGGAATATTATCTGGCCATTAAAAAAAAAGGTAAGTGCTGATACATGCTACAACACAGATGAACCTTGAATACATTATGCTAAATGAAAGAAGCCAGTCACAAAAGATCCCATATTGTATGTGTCATATTGCGTTTTAAATAAAAAATGTATATTTGGTCTTCATCCCCATTCCTGGCAAGGAAATCCCAAAGCCCTTGGAATTTCCTAAGTGTTGCGAGTGATAAATGTATATTTGGTTATGTTAATGAGGTGACTTTTGGAAAAACCTCTCTGTTGCCCAGAGAAACAACCATGTGATCAGAGGGCTGGAATTTCAGCCCCATCCCTCTGGCCTCCAGGGAGAAGGGCTAGAGGTTGAATCAACTGCCAATGGCCTATGATAGAGTCATTCATGTGTATGAAATGAAGCCTTCATAAGAACTCAAAGGGTGGGATTCAGAGAGCTTTTGGGTTGGTGAACACAAGCAAACGCTGGGAAAGTGGTGTGAAGGTACAGGGTATGGAAACTCTGTGCCCCTTTCCCATACCTTGCCCTATGCATCTCTTCCATCTAGCTGTTCTTGAGTTATATCCTTTTATAATATTCTGGTAATCCAATAAGTAAAATGTTTCTGTGAATTCTATGAGTCTGTCTAGCAAATTGATCAAATCCAAGGAGGAGGTTGCTGGAACTTCCAATCTATAGCCAGTGGGTCAGAAGCACAGGTTATTACCTGGACTTGGAGTCTGATGTGGCAGGAGAGGGGAGGCAGGCTTCTAGGACTGAGTCCTTAACAGGTGGTATCTGGCACTATCTCTGGGTAGATAGTGTCAGAATTGAGTTGAATTGTAGGATACCCAGCTGGTATCAGAGCATTGCTTGTTGGTTTGGGGAAACTACATCCCCTATGTTGGAATTGGTGTATGATTTTACTTTGATTCCATTTATATGAAATGTCCAGAATAGGCAAGTCTAGAGAGGCAGAAAGTAGACTAGTAGTTGCCTGTCCGGAGGAGGGGGAAAAACGGGAAGTGGATGCTAATAAGTATACGATTTCTTTTTGTGTTGATGAAAATGCACTAACATTGATTGTGGTGATAACTGCACAACTCTGTGAATATACTAAAAACCACTGAATTGGACATTTTTAATGGATGAATTATATGGATATGAATCATATTTCAATAAATCTGTAATATAAACCAAACCAAACCAAAGAGTATAGGGTTTGAAGTCAGACAGACTAGGATTTGAATACTTGAATAGCTCCAACTCTTGACTGTGGACAAGTTATTTAATCTGAGTCTCAGTTTCTCATATATAATACTGGGATAGTAATATCCACCTCACATAATAGTTATGGGGTATATGGGAAATAAATATATGTGCAATGCCCTGCATTCAATTGCATTCATCAGAATATAGCAAGCCACAGAGGAACAGGGGATATTGTTACACATTTTTCCTCTTACTCTACTTGGCCATGTGCTCTCTCCTGGAAGCTAGGAAGTTTATTGCATGGTTCTTCCTGATGTTTTTGCATTTTGCCCTTGTCTCCATGATTTGATAGCCTCAACCCCTTCTTTATTCTGTCCATCAAGCTAAAATAAGTGCTATATTTACTCTAATATGTATATATTTATTAGGAGCTTAATATGTCTTTTAAACTATGCTGTTTTTTTTTGCTGTGGTTTTCTAAAAATTAGAATAGTTATTATTTTTGTTAGTGCTCTGTCACAAGTTGTAGCTTTGACTACAGAAGCCAATTTTCTTGTATGTCCTGTTATTTTTAGTGTGTAATTTTGCAGAACATAAGATTTCTTAGGAACACATGGTGGAAAATACCCACATATGTTAAAACACAGTACACCAACACGTTAGTAAAAGAATTGAAGCCTTAGAATCAATATAAAGAAGTAACAAAAATAGAAACAAGGAACAAAGAGAGGGGAGAAAGAGAGGAAAAGCAAGATTTAGGGACTCTAAGTAGTGTTAATGATCAGAATGTTTATTCCTAAAATCCATTAGGTAACAAAACTACAGTAACAGAATTATTTAAAATTAAATTTTAGGGGCGCCTGGGTGGCTCAGTTGGTTAAGCGACTGCCTTCGGCTCAGGTCATGATCCTGGAGTCCTGGGATCGAGTCCCGCGTCGGGCTCCCTGCTCGGCAGGGAGTCTGCTTCTCTCTCTGACCCTCTTCCCTCTCGTGCTCTCTATCTCTCGTTCTCTCTCTCTCAAATAAATAAATAAAATCTTTAAAAAAATTAAATTAAATTAAATTAAATTTTAACACGGGAAATCTCTATACTTTCTGCTCAATTCTGCTTGAACCAAAACTTCTCTAAAAATAAAGTCTATTAAAAATTAAATCTTACTGTATGAGACAAAATTGAAATTAATAATAGCTTAAACACATAAAAAGTGGAGTTTAGAAGTTCATGGTTAGTAAAGCAGCTTGCAATGTGTCAGAGACTAAAGCTCTTTTTGTTCCACTCTTTCACTTCCACATTTAGTTCTTGTCAGTATAGTCCAAGCTGGTTGCTGGAGCCAGTCATTACATCTCTATTCCAGCATTGGGAAGGAGAAAAGTGAAGGAGAGAAACATGCTGCTTCCTTTTAAGGACATTCCCCGGAAGTTGCATAAGCCTCTTTTGCTTAATATCCCATTGGGAAGAACTTAGTCGCATGGCTCTATGTAGTTACAGAGAGGCTGAGAAATGTAAAAGTGATTCTAGGTGGTGCCACAGGTCCACCTTCTTCGCCATGGACTCTATCTTGGTACTGCAAAATGAATGGAAGGTCAGATAAGATCGCACATCCATTCCTTCAGGGCCTCCCATTTCTCCCATACATGAATCTTGTTGAGTCAAAGTAGCCAGATCATTGCCTTCACTGAGGACTTACTACGTATTCTTGCTCTATACCTTCTGACTTGCTGTTTCCTTTGCCTGAAAAACTTTCTCTCAAGTTAGTTTTTCCTTCAATGTCCAGCTTAAGCTCAATTCCTATTTCTTTTTCTTTTTCTTTTTTTTTTTAGAGAGAGAGAGAGAGAGAGGCAGAGGCAGAGGGAGAAGCAAGCTCCCCACCTAGCAGGGAGCCCGATGTGGGACTCGATCCCAGGACCCTGGGATCATGACCTGAGCCGAAGGCAGACGCTTAACCATCTGAGCCACCCAGGCGCCCCTAATTCCTATTTCTTTGAGAAGCTGATCTCTCCTGCTTATAAATGCACAGTCTTACCAATCTAACTCATAAAGTGAAGAGATCTTAGAGATCATCTTGTTTCTTGTTACTTTAAGTAGGTTCTTGGCCCAGCAATATCAGCATATCTAAGAGCACATTAGAAGGGCAGAATCTGGGGTGCCTGGTTGGCTCAGTCAGTTAAGCATCTAACTCTTGATCTCAGCTCAGGTCTGTATCTCAGGGTCATGAGTTCAAGCCCTGTGTTGGGCTCCATGCTGGGCATGGAACCTACTTAAAAAAAAAAAAAAGTGCAGAATCACAGGCCCCAACACAGACCAACTGAATCAGGATCTCCATTTTTAATAAGATCTTCAGGTGATTCACATGCACATTAAAGTTTGAGAAGCACTGATCCAGTATCATTATACTGACAGAGAGTGAGGATCAGAGAGAAGATGACTTGTCAAGTAGGTAGTACCTGCCTTTTCAAATCACGACTTGAAATCCACATTTTTTTTTAATTCATGGAGCTGAGCTCTTTTCACTATACCTTCCTGCTTCCTCACTGCTTCAGTTTAGTCTAGTCATGCAATAGGCACTTTGTATTGGCCTTATGCCTTGTGATAGACTTTATGATGGTCATCTTATATTATCATTTAATTCTTACATGGTTAATTCTTTTATGTCTATATATTATCTTCTTAACCTGATTTTTAAATTCCTAGATGAAGGAAATGGTATACTGGGTTTCTTTGCATTTTGAGTCTCGACACATTTAAATTGGTTATTTGTTTCTTTCCAGCACAATTAAGGAAAACTTAAATTACTAAAACCTGAAAATGTGAATAATAACTAAATCCTTCCTGGGTCTGATCAGCACTCTTTGTACAAAGTGAAGCAACATAGTAAATTATTTACCTTTGCACTGAAATCTCTAATTTATGCCTATATTAACAAAGTAGACTGGGTTAGATGTTCTTCCTTGTATTATGTATGCTCTGTGTTCCTATCTTTGTCATTATACTTCCCATATTGTATTGTAATTATTTATTTATAAATCTCTACTCCCTTGTGTTCTTTGAAAGTAGAGACTGTGCTTTCTTGTGTTCTTTGAAAGTAGAGACTGTGTCTTATTCATTTGTGTATCCTGCAACCAGCACACAGGATTGTATATAATAAATATTTGATGAATGACTGAACTAGTAATAAATAATGTTTTGACAAAGTTATGTTAGAAAATAGCCTTAATTCTGCATTTATACTATAAGAAAAAAAGACCAATTTTAATATAAAGTGTCCTATAGACACATTCTACAAGAAGTTTACTTATTGATTAAAATCATAATAACATATTTGCTTTATTTCTGTGTGTGTTTTATAACACAAATGCATAGAGAACAGTTAATATGTGATAAATTAAGCCAAAATAAAAAGGGTATAAATCACTTCTATTAACCTCTCTTTTGTGGCTCAGATTAGGGCTTTTTCTTCAGATAAAAGAATAAAATCTCTGAGTATACAAAGGAAAGGATCTTCTCTTTGCAGAGGTCTGGAGAACTTACTGTTTCTCTCCTAGATGTAAAGGGGAAATTGAGGTTAAGGACACATACTTCTCTAGGAACTCCTCCACAAAGAGACTTGCTTTCCACTGATCCAAGACTGAAATATCATCTGTCATTCCCCACACTGAAACAGCTGAAACTAGAAAGGAGAATGGTAAACATTAGCTTCTAGAATTTTCTTTTGCACTTACTACAAGCCAAACATGAACATTTTACATTATGGTGTTATTTGTTCACAAATGTAATTTTTCCCAAAATTTTACCAGATTTCAAATATTTAAATAATCTTTCTCATTATTATAATTCACCCCCCCAAAACCCCTCAACTATAGTCAGAACAATATCACCTGAACATACCATCCTCATTTTTACATCCTCTCTTTTGCTAATACAGCACTACCATCCTAGATAGTCCTGTTCAACAGCTCATATTAGTCCTCATGAAGTTTTATTATTAACCATTTCAGCTTGTTCTGATATATTCTCTTTGAAGGGCCATAATTGTCAGTAGCACTCACTCTGGCACATGATCATACACAGCCATATTTAAAAATTTTAGGTATCTATAGCTTGTCTCTCAAATTAGACCATTGGTTCCTTAAAAGAGACATCATGTCATATACTAATGTCAGAAGAAGCAACTGAGTGAAGTCAAAGGTGGTATTCTACCACCAATGTTATGTCTTACTAGTTTTGTTATCTTGAACAAATCACTTAACATCTGAGTCTGTGTGTCATTGAAAAAAAATACAAAAGTTTAGTGGTTACAAGTACAGGTTCTGGAATCACCCTGACCAGATTTTATTTAATACTTGTATTGCTACTTATTAAGTGTATAAGCTTGGGTAAACCTCTTAACCCCTTTGTACCTATTCCTTATCTACAAATTGGGAATAATAATGGTCTTTTCCTAGTGTTGTGAAGATTAAATGCAATGAGACATATAAATTGCTTAGAATAGTGCCTTACATATTGTAAACAAATTTTGGCTGTTAATGGGGATGCCTGGGTGGCTCAGTCCGTTAAAGGTCTGCCTTCAGCTCTGGTCATGATCCCAGGGTCCTGGGATGAGTCCCACATTGGGCTCCTTGCTCAGCGTGGAGCCTGCTTCTCCCTGTGCCTGCCACTCCCCTTGCTTGTTCTCTCTCTCTCTCTGGCAAATAAGTAAATAAAATCTTTTAAAAAATTTTTGGCTGTTCATGTTATTATTGTTTTTAAAAAGAGAAAAAAATAGGAAAAAATGATGAACTCATTTTTCCTTCTGTACATTTATTTCTTTATTTTTCCTTCTGTACTTTTAGATAAGCAGATTAATGAAAGCTATTCTTTATCTTATTTCCAACCTGACTGAGATTCACTCCCTTTTTACAATATTCATTGTAAAATGAAGACATTCCTCCCTCATGTCCTTACTTCCTTTCTTACACACTTCAGTTTCCATAGCCAGTCCCATAACCACTACCTTACAAAGACCCTTGATTCCTTTGCCTCTCTTTCCCTTGTACTAACTCAGGAAAACCCCTACTCTCCACCTTGTGTACGTACACTAGAACAGCTGAAAATTATTGGAAAAAGATCATCCAGTCATGATCTTTGTCTGAATGAACTGAATGAACTCATTTCAGATTATGACCATAAATTTCAAATGGGCATCCAATACTGACAGACGATAATAGTACACCTTCCTAAACAAACTGGTTTTCTCATTCTTCTTTCTAAAGATTTTTTTTTTAATTTTTATTTTTTAAAGATTTATTTGGCAGAGAGCAAGACACAGTGAGAGAGAGAACACAAGCAGGGGGAGTGGGAGAGGGAGAAGCGAAGCAGGCTTCCCACTAAGCAGGGAGCCCGATGAGGGGCTCCATCCCAGGACCCTGGAATCATGACCTGAGCTGAAGGCTGATGCTTAACAACTGAGCCCCTCAGGCGCCCCTATTTATTTTATTTTAGAGGGAGGGAGAAAGTAAGCATGTGGGCAGGGGAAAGGGCAGAGGGAGAAGGAGAGAATCTCAAGCAGACTGCTTGTTGAGTGTAGGGCTTTCCCAGGACCCTGAGATCATTACTTGAGCTGAAGGCAGACGCTTAATGGACTGAGCCCCGTGGGTGTCCCTATCTCACTTGTTTTCTTACCTGGTTCTGCCTTTAACTGTTGGAGTGTTCTAGGGCTTTGTCCTAGGCTCTCTGCTCTATATATATATACTCATGCTCACAGTGACTTCATCTGCTTTCATAAGTTTATGTGCAATCCATATACGATTACTCCAGTTTGAAACTCCAGCAGTGCTCAAGATTTATATAATAAATTGCCTCCTTGATGTCTTCATTTAGATACCTAAATAGGCATTTTAACCTGGCCAAAGCAGAGTTTTGACTCTAGCCACAAACTGGCTTCCCCATGAGCCTTTTCTTATCTTGGGAAATAGCACGGCCATCCACCCAATTGCTCAGGTCAAAAACCCTAGAAGACATTCTTTATTGTTCTCTTTTTTCTTTAACCCTCTCACTATTGGCTAGACTTTTAAAATAATCTCAATTCAACCACTCCTCGCACCTCCCATTAACATAAGCCTAGTTCAAGCCACTATTATCTTTTATGTAGAGTGTAGATTCACTTAGCAATCTAGATTCTGAACTAATATGATAGCTTTCTGATTGAATTTATCATTTCTACTCTTTCCCAATCCCTACCCCTTCCATACTCCAGACAACCTGAATGATTTTTCTAAAGCATATATCAGATTATGTCACTCCCTTTTTAAAAAAACTGTCCAATGATTTGTTACATTAGCCATAATATAAACAAGCAAATAGACTCCATATTATGGCCTATAATGCCTTGTATCTTTCAGAAGCTGCCTACTTCTTAGATATCCCCTTTTCATTAACCTGTCACAGTGGCCTAATTTTCTGGTCCTAAAACTCATCAAGTTTATTCCTGAGTCAGGAACTCTGCATTTGCTTGAAAGGCTTCTCCCCCATATCTTTTTATTGTTGTTGCCTTCTCATCATTCAGATCTCAACTCGAATGTCCACTTCCTTCCCTAAGCATCTTAGGAAATAGTGCTCCCTACTAAATCTTGTATCACATTACCCTATTGTGTCTTTTCTACATATTTATTAATACCAGAGATTAGCTTATATATTTGATGGTTTTATTGCTGCATACTTCTTACCAGTCTGAAAACCCACTGAGGGAAGGAATTACTTCTGTCTTATTAGTAACTGTCCTTAGCACCTATAACAGTACCTGGTACATAATACATGCTAAATAAATGTTGTTAACTGACTTGACTCCTCAATGGAAGCTACCTCTTTCTTAAATCCATGACATGATAAGAGCAAAAGATAGTATTTTGTACATATACATTTAAAAATAGTTTTATATGTGGTATATCATAACATTTTAAAGTAGCCCTCCTACAGTTGAGCAAGATCCTATTACAACAAATGTTTACAATGCTAGGATATTTTAAGACTTCATCATCTACATATCTTTTAGTTGTTCTATTTGTATCTTTATAAACTTCCCAATTCCCTACTTTGTCACCTAAATTCTGTCACAAAAATATTAATTTGTAACCTTGAGTTCTTTTTTTTTAAGATTTTATTTATTTATTTGAGAGAGAGAGCATGAGAAGGGGGAGGGTCAGAGGAAGAAGGAGACTCCCCGCTGAGCGGGGAACCCAATGCCGGCCTCAATCCTGGTATTCCAGGATCATGACCTGAGCCGAAGGCAGATGCTTAACTGACTGAGCTACCCAGACACCCCTTGGAGTTCTGATATGAATAAATGCAATGCAGTTTTATTAATAAGAAAAGAACGCTTTCTTAATAATTTACGGTGCTAAACTCTGACATTACTTTTGAAATAGATTTTAGAGAAATAAAAATAAAACATACCTCTCATCCATGGCCTCCTAAACTTATTATCAATAACTCCTGCATGATAATTTCCATCTGGATATAAACATGAAGGGACTCGAAGCAATAAAGCGTCTCTGCAAAACTTCTTTCTAACTATATTCTATGTAAGAAAGTAAGATTATAAAATCTTTTAATATATTTATCAGATGCAACTATCAATATTCAGAATATTAAAATTTTTTATTCTTTCAAATTCATATTATTTTTATTTAAAGGTAATACCTGCTCATTATAAAATATAGAATAACACAGAACACATAACTGAGAAATTCAAGGTCCCTGGTAATATAAGTAATACTTTGGCATGTTTTCCACAGACTTCCTTTTCTAGGCTAGGCTAAAATATGTGTGTGTGTGTGTGTGTGTGTGTGTGTGTGTGTCTGTGTGTGTCTATGTGTTTGACAAAAATGAGATCACATCATTTATACAGTATACCATTTAGCAATGTGCTTTTTTTTCACTTAACAGTATAATATGGCTGTCTTAATTTTGTTTTCTATGTCTTTGCATTATTAAACTTGTGACAACCAGCAAATAAGTTTCTAACTTAAAAAAAATCAACAAATAAAACTATTTCTTAAACCTCATAGTCTATGGTGTGCCTCTGAAAAATGTCCCACTATTCTTCTCAGATTATCAAAATTCTATTTATTAAAAAAAATCCTATTTATCTTTCAAGGCCCATCTTAAGCAGTATCTCCTCTATGCAGCTTTTCCTCAGTAACTCTCAACTTCCCACAAACTTCATTATTCTATGTATTTGGACAAATGATAGTTTCCTGCATTATTTCCCAAGAGTTTTATGTTTGCTGAAGGTGTTATACATATTAAATAAGAGGTCTTAATTATTCAAGAATAAATGGTACAAAGAAAGAAGAGTTAAAGTAATTTCTATAAAACGAGGACCAAAGGTTCATTGCAAAACAGAAAAAAAGCTTGATTAATACTTTGTCTAAAAAAATGAAATAAAGTGATAAAAATTAAATTTTATAGCTAACAAAATTTTGGTTATAATTAGTTTGTAACCATAACTGGTTTTTTGTCAAAATTTTCCCACAAACTGTATTATATAATGATATGCATGATATTAGTCATTACTTCATCTTTGATTGTAAAGAAGATATTTTTAAAAAATATTTAACCAAAATATTCCCAAGGCATCTCTGACTCCTTTAATATTCAAACCATTCTCTTCCTCTTATCTGTAACTAATCCATGTTGCAAGGTCTTCATTTGACAATAGCTTTACCTGTTGAGTGGTTCCCCAACACTATTTCCATGAACTTTACAAAATTCTACAACTTTTGCAAGAAATGCCATCAATCAGTATCATATTTGTACTACATCATGGGGTGTGATCCACCAGCAAGAAACTAAGATACCATGGGCACAGATTAAAATTTAAGGATGTTTGAATACAGACTAATTTTGAAGTGACCAATATATTTGGTTAACAATGACTTCTGATTCCCTACCATGAATATGTTATAATAACACATTTACCTCCCACAGTTATGAAGAAATACAAAACCTGAAGATGTCTAAATGTCTTTCTTATTTCCTATAAAATGGACAGTTTTAGTTACATTGGAGTAATTTTTTTTCCTGGTAATGAGGTCAAGGTTATAAAGAAAATCAAAATTTAATTTATCAATTAAGATCATAAGAACAATGATTTGTTGTATGACTATTTTAGTTTCTTAACAATGTACTGGCCTTGAATCTTAGCTTTGTATAAGCTGTTTAAGTTTCTAGACATCAGTTTCCTAACCTGTAAAATTGTAAAATCTAGCTCTTGGAGTAGTTATGATGATCAAATGGCATAATCCATCAAAAGAGCAAAGGATCAAATGATATAATCCATCAAAAGACCAAAGTATCTGGCCCATACAATTGGTCAATACATGCTGTTACTGTTATTTCTCATAAAGATAACTGGGACTGCTTTCTCCCCCGACTCTTTTCAAGGAAGATCACTCAAGAATGTTCATATAGAAGCAGCCCAAATATGCCAAGTTCCCATTTTTTTCTGCTGACAGCTTCAGATTCACAATACGTTGTCAATAATTTCCTTCCAAACGTGGCATTTTTAAGGTATATTGGAAGTGGGAAGAAATTTTAAATAAATCTCCAAGTAATTAGACTAAGGATTAGTCTAAGGACTACTGCAAAATTATCATAATCATGTAGTGAATGCAGGTAGTACTTTTCATATCATAATTCTTAGTAGTTAGTGATCCAATAATACTCTACCTCATCTAAATAGTCTATTGCACAATATTTGAATGCTGAAAACATGTCTTCTTTCTTTGAGAGCGGTACAAATTTCAATATCTGGAAATATAAAAATTAAAATTAAATGTTGATAAAATAGCAAAGCAAGGAGTAGAAAACCATTCTTAATCACAAAACTTTGGTTCATTCATTTTTAAAAAGGCACTGAGTGATAAAAAATTTTACTATAAAAATAACATTTATTACTATGATTTAAATCTAATATGAAAATAATGTATGTTGATATAAAATTTTTCATCTACTTTTCATACATGTTCATATATTGTTTAATCCACACAACTTCTGGTTGGTGGATTGAAATATATATTCTGTGACCATTTTGTTACAAAAGAGGCAGGAATTCTCAAGTTTGAGAAAACCACTGGTACAGTGGTTTTCTCAGGATAACCATATTTCTTAAGTGGTCTTGAAACAGAATAACCACACATAAAACTGTGCAGAAGCAGGGGAGAAGAATCTGGGAAATTCAAGTCTCTTAAAAAATGAAAAGCCCAGGGGTGCCTGACTGGCTCAGTTAGAAGAACATGTGACTCTTGATCTTGGGGTCATGAGTTCAAGCCCCTGTTGGGGGTAGAGTTTACTAAAAAAAACAAATAAAAATTTAAAATAAAAAGGCTGAAGTTAGAATTCCCTAATAGCTCATTTGGAATAAAGCCACTAAGACATAGTATTCCTAGGTCAATGGGTCATTACTGATAAATAAACAAATTCATCTAATGAAGCAGTAGGTAAAATTTAGAATCCTGAAAGAGTCCAAGATGGTTCTCATTTATGTGAGAACCAGAGCAATTACAGCTTATAAGAGTCACTTTAGGACAGAGTCCAGTGTATCAGATAGTTCTTAGCATTCTGATCAGTTACTTCAAATGTTTTGGGGAATTTAGATGTAAGCTAGAAGTCTTCATAAGGTAGTTTGTCAGTAAGTTCTTAGTGAGTGAAATAAACATTTTAATCTGAATGGTTCTGCCTTAGTTTCATTATTATTTTAAACTTATTTGAGGTTTACCTGTTTCCTTATCTATGGTGAAGGTACTGTACCAGAAGACCTTAAGAGCTCATCTACATTAATTAGCTATGAATCTATTCCTATTTTCAGTCATCATCGAGTGAACATTCTTAACTACTCAACTACTGTATTACAAAATCTAAGAGCAAACTGGTTCCGGAATACAATTACTTTATTTGATTAATGAATCAGAAGACATTTTGGATATTATAAGCTTTCCAATGAAAACAAACCCAATAAGCTATCTGAATTATTTTTTTAATATTGTTAGGTTCTGTGGTATCAACAGATATGGGGAGTACATAGTACTCTTAATTCACTCTTTCACTCTTAATTAAACAATGTCAACGTAGCGTTTTCTTACTGGTGATTGCTTCTCTGGAAATATTTTCCAATCATTGTACTTCCATACCTTTTCCATATAGTGTATCACTGATCTTTGAGGCAAACATTAATTTAGAATTTCCATTTCTTGATATTGTGCTTTCAAAAACCATTATCTGATTGTGCATCATTCTAGAAGTCATTTCAAAAAATTTAAAACAACCAATCTACTTAGTTAATCCATTCAGTTATTGTCAGCATTTATCTTAAATTTTCCTTTCTTGTGAAGCCTGTATTTCTACTAGCTTCAGATTCATTCACTCTCATCAACTACCTTAAACAATAATTACTGTTGTATTGAAATTAATCATTTAAATTCATGCTGAACATACAGTACTTAAATAAGATACTATATATCACATATATTCATAGAATTCCTTTCACCTGTCAACTTTACTTCATTGCATTACAGGTGTTTGACCCCATCCTATAATAGTGGATGGATAGGAAGAGATAAATCGGCCTTATTTCTAAAGTTAAAGGGAGAAAAGCAAAATCATGGCTAAAGAGAAGGTATTTTAAAAATAATCAATCAATCAATCAGGAATTTCAGCAATCCCTGAAATATTTTTCCTTACCTATTCCTAAAGATTTTAATGCTCTTGTGCTACCTCCTGATCGGGGCCAAAATGGAAATGCGTATAAGTAATCAGGTTAGGCTCTTATGCACAAGGCCAAAGAAGTAAGGCACAAGATTTTCTCCACTCAGTTTTACTGAAGTATCACTGAGGTAAAAATTTTACATATTTAAAGTGTAGGTATATATATTGGGATATTATTTCCAAGATTATCTAAGACACATACGAGTGAACGCGAATTTTAGGGCTGGCTTCCCATCTCCTCTCGCCAGCCTCAGGCATATGGAGATTTCTCCCCTTCCTCACTCCTTTGCCTAAAAACCACACTTTAACCATGTAAAATCGCAGAGAAGGCAAGGTTCACAGATTTTCTCGTATTGTTTAATCTATACAACTTCTTGTTAGTGGGTTGAAATCCCACTGGCCTTTCTGTGCCCTTCACAACCTCTATTCCCGCCTCATTAGGTTACGTGGACCCTGGTTCTGGGGTCTTGTCCCCACAGAGCCACATCAACCGGGCCTCACAGATCTGTTTTCCAGCAATTTTGGAGTTGCCATACCCTAGCCCCACCCTGACCTTTTCTTCTCCTCTGCTCAAGAACACCTTCCCTTTCTCCTCTCTTCAGCCTCCCCGGGTTGCCACGGAAGTAAAATCGCCACGTACCCGTCAACTGAGATAATTCCCGCCTACTGAGCATGTGACCTCTGGCCTTGGGCTCAGCGCTGGCATTGGCCAGCCAGGCGAGGCCCCGCCCCTCGGGCTCCTGGCACTTCCGCCCGCGGTTGCCCATTGCCGGGGGGTGCCCGGGTCCTCGCGGCTGAGCGAATCCTTTGCGGCACTCAGTGGAGAGTGACAGAGGACAGAGGCAGGAAGCCCGAGGGAACCGGTGTGAAAGGCAGGGAAGAGCACGCCAGGGAGTCTGGACTTCTAACGTTATTAGCTGATCCTGGCCAAACGGGACAGGACCAGAGGGAAGGCAAGGGCAGAAGCGTTCCAAAGGTAAAACAAAGAATTTAGCCATCAGATTCAGGAAGAAGGAAAGCGAAAGGGAGGAAGCCAACATGATTCAGGTGTCTGGCTAGGTGTTGGCCATGCCTTGAAGGCGGAAGAGCATTTGAGGAGGGGCAGGAAGATAGAATTGGGACATGCAGATTGTACACGTTGATTGATAGCCACCCCTTCGCAAACACACTCATTTAGGAATCACTAGACCCACCAGATCAGGAAGAAGTGTCGCTGTATTTCTTAACTCCTGTCTTTCTTCCCGTGACGTAACTTGGCATTAAATTTCTTCCCAGAATATTGCAAGAAGTAACATGCATTTATTTATTTTACTAACACATGGGTGTCTTTCTAGTTAATTACTAACAAAATGCTAATTATGAAACATCAGTGGATAAGCTACATTACTCTCCCAAGTTACTGACTTCATTCTATTTTGTACAGGTTTGTGCAGTTTGCTTCACTGATACGGATTTAATGTTTGGCGGTAATCAATACAAAGATGTTCATCTGGCATTGAGGTACATTACTATGCATTCTTGGATGTATACCTTTCATTAAAACTAATTTTAAATTAAATAATTTTGTAAAAATTACAAAAGTAACACATTGTTATGCTAATTGTAACCAGTAAAACCATCCTAAGATGAATACAGAAAAAGTAATCTCTGTTACTGACCCTATTCCCAGATAACCAAGGTTAACAATCTGGGGTGTATCTTTTTTAAATTAAATTAAATTTTTTTAATTTAAAATCAATTAATTACCATATTATATTATTAGTTTCAGAGGTAGAGTTTAGTGATTCATCAGTTGCATATAACACCCAGTGTTTACTACATCAGGTGCCCTCCTTAATGCCCATCACCCAGTTACCCCATCCCCCCACCCAGGGTATAACTTTTCATACCTGTTATACGTTCACACAAATTTATATGGACATGCACACACAAAATAGTTCGGCCAATTATATAAAAATGGGTGACTTATTTTTCACCCTTCTTCACTAAACAATACATCACGAACAACATTCCACATAAAAATATATAGATTTAACTTGTTTTTAACAGTTGCATAATATTTCATAGTAAAGATATGCTGTAATTTATCCAAACATTCTGCTACTGATGGATTTAACAGATTGTTTTCAGGTTTTTTTTTTTTTAATCTTGACAAATAATGCTGCAATAAGAATTCTTAGACATAGGGTTTTAAATATTATTGCTGTTATTCCTATGGTATAGATTTGTGTTGCTTTGCTGCCGTAAGTGGTAAGAGCATTTTAAATTTAATAGTGCCAATTTACCTTTCAAAAATTTATAGCAATTTATGTTAACAATGCCTGAGAGGGATCATTTTTCTGAATACTCAACAGAAGTGAGTATTTTGCTCTTTGAAAATGTTTGCTGGTCTGACACATGAAAAATACTATCTCATTATTGTTTTAATTTGCATTTTCCTGATTACTACTGAGATTAAACACTTTTTAGATATTCATGAGCCCTTTGGATTTCTTCTTCCATGAATCCCATTAATTGCATAATTGTGTGTGTGTGTGTGTGTGTGTGTGTGTCTGTGTGCAAGATCAGGCCATTTTTCTATTCAGCAGGTTCTCTTTTGAAGATTTTGTATATAGGTACTTTAGTTACTATCAGATTTGACTATGCAGATAACAGAAAATCTCCAAGCAATATAAAATTTATTTCTCTGTCATGTAAATGAGGTACGGAAGTAAAAGGTTCAGGTCTGATATGGCAGCTGTGCCCCACAAAGGCCTCAGGGACTTAACCATCCAGCTCATTACTCTAGTATTCCTGTGTTGTGGTCCTTAGTCTCATGGTCTCAAGTGGCAGTATTTATGTTTCAGGCAGCAAGATGGAGCAAGGAATGAAAAAGAGGAGAGGCCAAGGGCACAATGTTTCTTTATGTATCTGTAATTAAAATTGTGAAACATAATGTTCATATAGAAAAACACATAAGAAAATCTATAGCTTAAAAAATTATTTTAAAAAGGGTGCCTGGGTGGCTCAGTCAGTTAAGTGTCTGTCTTTGGCTCAGGTCATGATCCCAGGATCGTGGGATCGAGTCCCGCATCAGGCTCCCTGTTCCGCAGGGAGCCTGCCTCTCCCTCTGCCTCTCTCTCTTTCTGTCTCTCATGAATAAATAAATAAAATATTTTTTTAAAGATTTTATTTATTCATTTGAGACAGAGAGAGAGAGAGCATGAGCAGGGGGAGAGGCAGAAGCAGGCTCCCTGCTGAGCCAGGAGCCCGATGCGGGGCTCCATCCCAGGACCCTGGGATCATGACCTGAGCCAAAGGCAAACGCTTAACCATCTGAGCCACCCAGGTGCCCCAATAAATAACATCTTTAAAAAAATTATTTTAAAGAAATATCCATGCAACCTCCACTCAAAGTAAAGAAACAGAGCATTACAAGAATTTGAGAAGCTGTGTTTCCTTTTCTAATCACAACTCTCCCTTGAGGAAGTCTCCTCCTAGACCTAGAGATTACTATAATCCTGACTTTATGGTAATCACTGCTTTGCTTTTCTTTAGTTTCATCCAAGTATGCATTTTTAAATGATACAGTTTTGCTTATTTTTAAATATTGCTGTTTGTGTTAGTTTGGTTCTTGTTTCTGTTCAGTGGATGCCATTGTACGTATGTATGTTAATTCAATTTCATTGCTGAATACACCATCATATAAATATACTTCAATTTATTTATCCATTCTATTGTTGATGGACCTTTGGATCATTGCAAATTACAAATAGTGCTGCTATCAATATCCTTGTACGTATATCCTAGTATACGTATACATTTTTCTGGAATATAATTTTAGGAATGAATTTCTGGATTATTGGGTATACATATCATCACATTTATTCAATAATGGCAAACTGTTTTCCAAAGTGATTGTACTAATTTACACTCCCACCAGCAATGTTTTAGAGTTCCTATTGCTTTTTGTCCTTACCAACCCTTAGCAGCTTCATATTATTTAATTTTGAGTATCTGGTAAGTATCTAGTTTCTCTCAAGGAAGGTTCCCATAAGCTGCCACATGACAGTTCTGCTTACATCTCGTTGGTTAGGCCCTAGTCACCTGATCACTCTTGGCTGTAGTAAAGGCTAGAAGAATCATTGTTTATTCTGGACTGTCATGTGCATAGTTACAACTTGGAGATTCTATTATTAAAATAAGAAGGAGGGCGCCTGGGTGGCTCAGATGGTTAAGCGTCTGCCTTCGGCTCAGGTCATGATCCCAGGGTCCTGGGATTGAGTCCCGCATCAGGCTCCCTGCTCCTTGGGAGCCTGCTTCTCCCTCTGCTTCTCTCTCTCTCTCTCCTCCTCTGTCTCTCATGAATAAATAAATAAAATCTTTAAAAAAAATAAATAAAATAAAATAAGAAGGAAAGAACAGATTTTGAGAACTAGTTTCTGCTACATTAAGAATAATAATTTAAAAATAGCTAACTTTTATTGAGCACTTACTCTGTGCCAAGCACTATTCTAAACATTTTGCAACTACTTGTAAATTAGATACTATATTACAAATCCCAGTTTACAGGTAAGAAAACTGGGACATTGAGAATTTAAGTGTCTTACCCAAGATTAAGCTAGAAAGTATGAGACAGAATTGCAAACCCAGGTAGTCTGGTTCAAAGTCCATGCTTTTAGCTGGGCCATATACTCTTTATTTTATTTATTTATTTATTTATTTATTTATTTATTTATTTATTAAGATTTTATGTATTTATTTGACAGAGAGAGACATAGCGAGGTGGGAACACAAGTGGGGGAGTGGGAGAGGGAGAAGCAGACTCCCTGCTGAGCAGGGAGCCTGATGCAGGGCTCGATCCCAAGACCCTGGGATCATGACCTGAGCCGAAGGCCGACGCTTAATGCCTGAGCCACCCAGGTGCCCCAGGGCCATATACTTTTTAAAAGGAATATTTGTTCTTGGTCTGCCATATATTTTACAAAGATTTTCCTCCTGCTTATCTTTGGAAATTTCTAAGAGTAGTTTTCTTTATATATTTATAGTGAATTTCACCTATATATCTAAGTCATCTGTGTTTTTTCTCAGTAGATATTTCTGCATCATTTTTTAAAAATTATGCATATGAAAAGAATCTTAAGACAATTACTTTTCCCTATAAGTTTTAATTCACATTATTTATGTTACTGTTATTTTGTATCTAGGTGGAAGTAAATTTAAACACACTTGAATATAAAGATCTTATTTATTTATTTATTTGAGAGAGAGAGAGAATGAAAGAGCACACACAGGGAGGGGCAGAGAAAAAGGGAGAGAGAATCCCAAGCAGACTTCACACTGAGTGCAGAGCCTGATGCAGGGCTTGATCTTATAACACTGAGATCATGATCAGAGCCAAAACCAAGTCAGACGCTTAACCGACTGAGCCACCCAGGCGCCCCTAAACACACTTGAATGTAAACTAAGCTGAGGAGCCATAAAGGAAGCTGGAAAAACCCTTTACTATCCAGATCAATTCCATACATTTGTGGAAATCCCTTATAATAATATTAAGCTTCATTGTTGTATTCACATGGTATGCTGTTGAGGACAGAGTAATAATGTTTAATGTTTACTGAGAACATACTTTGTGCCAGGCACAATACTAGGCACTGAAGATGCAA